AGATTATTAGAATGTTTTGGAGTTGAATAAACTAGGAGCAAAATGAGAAAATAGGAAAATTTTTGCAAAAATTGAACTAGTTACCAGCAGAAGTCTCATGATTTACTGTTAGCTCATGGCAAAATGGCTAGAAGAGTGGAAGGAAAAACTACTGATAGCAAAGGCATGACCTATTGATAGTAGTTTTCCAGAAGGGTCATCTACTGGTAGAAATTTCACATTAAGGTCATCTACCAGTAACAGCCTCACAAACCACTAGTAGCTTGTGCCTAGATTCACAAAATCAAGGGTTTGAAATCCATTTTTTTAGAAAAACCTTTCATTTCTCTCATTTCCCATCCTCTCAAAAACACTCTCTCCTCTCTCAAAACCTTCCAAATCTTCAAAGAACCTTGGGCATCCTCTATCTTCATTGATCTTCTCCTTCAAGCTTTGATTTCCCTTGATTTATCTTCACTTACCTAAATTTCTTCCTCTCAAAAACCCCTTCCTCTCTATAAAACACCCCCAAATCCATCAAAGCCTCGAAACACTTCACTCAAAGCTTAGATTTTTGGACAATGGCTAGAATGTGCAAGTCTCCACCTTTGCCTTTGGGTGTTTTTGAGTTATTTTGGGGTTGTATACTCCCATTCTTTGCCATGGGGGCATTTTTGGTTTTGATGGCCCACACCAAACAAGTAGGCCCTTTCACATTGAAACAAGCGGGAACCGAGTCCCACAAGAGGGTAGAGGAGGTGGCCCCCAGTGGTGGGGAGTAAAGGAAGAAGAAGAGGCACGACCCTCACACAGAGAGCATTGGAGCCAAAAATGTTATGTGTGAGCCGCAAGTGGATAGGCCCTCCTTTGGGCCATACGACATTGTTGTGCGTACTTACTGTCGTGAATTTTATTAGAGATTGATGGTAGTGGATGAGGACTTGTGTTTGCTAAAGATTAATGTAATGGGAAAAGTGATCAAAGTCACGCTGTCAATCATCGCCAAGGTAGGGGAGTATCAGAGGCCTCCACCAACACCCTCGTCGTTCCCCATAACGCCCCAGGGAGGAAATCACTCCAAGAGTATGCATGCTTGATGTATGAGAACCCTTCACAGTTCAAAAGGAAAATTCAAGTCGGGGGACTCAAGAATTCCTACGGGGTGATGAATAAAATCCTCCATTATAATGTTTTGCCTGGAGGAGTGGAGAAGACATAGGAAGAGGAGAAAATGGCTCTCCTCTATGAGTTCATGGCTGCCACCAAGATGGACATCGCCTTGATGATCTAGGAGGTGATCAAGGACTACGCCCACGCAACAAAGCCAAGGGCAAACCTTCCTTGTCACCAAGATCTACCGATAGAACAAGGTCAAGGGCATCCCTACTAATGCGACACTCCCGCCTGAGTTCGGCTCTATAGGCAAGCTGAGCAGCATAAAGAGGACAACTATAAGTGTAGGGCCTAGGTAGAGAGAGGAAAGGGCATCTAGGAGATCCACAACCGAGCCATCTATAGCTGAGCCATCCATAGTGGGGCCATCTACTACTAGTCCCCTCTGACGATTTTCAACGTCTAGCTGGGATTGAGGGGAGGTTGGATGATTTTGGGGGGACTATGTAGCTGTTGAAGCTTATGGTTACCAAGTTCTTTGAGAGGACTTTCCCAGGAGAGACTCTCCTTAAGATGCCACCACTACCCACTGCACCAAAGTTTCCATCATCAGCTCTGAAGACTAGTGCTGACATCCATGCGGCTACCCCCATTGACTTGATTGTTATGGAGGTGGGTGAGTTCGATGACAACGATGAGTACAAGGAGGACGATGAGGATGAGTATGATGATGACAACGATGAGGAATAAAGGATTAGAAAGAGTCTAGTCTTGTTTTTGTTGTTATTTTTGTTGGTTGTATATAATTGGATAGCACTATAGGAATCCACAACTTGGTAGAAGAGTTCTTGGGATAGTAGGCTATTTTGTCTTGAGTTCTTTGTACTTATTGCAAATTTTTCTAAATGAAAGAACTACACTTTTTGTTTCATTGTGCCCCAATTTCATTTTCATAATTGCAATGTGATTTGAGTAGTTTGTTGGTCCATGAATTAGCTAACATAAATGAAATTATTAAATGTGCAATACATAGTTTTGAAATAAGGTTTTCTAGGGAATAGCAAAGCTCAAGTTGGGGGGGTGTGATGAGTGTGGAACATTGCATATTAAGCTTCTTCATTGCATCTAATTTAACTTGTTTTGCAGTTAATTTTTAGGGAAATGGATTCAAATATATAATTAATGAAGATTGGTTTGATTGTAGGTGATAGGCTGAAAAGGGCAGGCATAAAACATCCCCATCAAGTGATTAAGGTCAATAGGGAAAACAAGATCTTAGGATGGATGGCTCGGGACCTCAAGAAACCAAGAATAAATTGACTATGCTCAAGATGTTATTCTTTATGCACATAAATTATAGCATTAGTCAATGTATTAAGTTCATCTCTAATTTCATAAAGTTATTGGGTTATTTGGGCATTGAATTCCATTTGGTATTGCATAAAATCGCACAAAATATTTTCCAATTCTTCTTCGGTTGAGTTCCCATATGTTGGATAGTGGCAAAATTCATTTGGTGGTGTGAGATTGGATGAAAAATTATAAGATTCATTCTCCCAACCATAACTCGGTGTAACATAGTGGTCGGGGTAAAACTTTTCGGAGGCCAAATTTGAATTTGAACCTTCGCATGCAAAGTCATGAACCGGATAATTTATTGGGCACTCACTAGTCATGTGTCCATACTCACCACAAATCTCGCAAACGTTTTTTAAAATAAGGGGCATTTATTGGGCACTCACTAGTGATGTGTCTATACTCATCACAAATCTCACACACATTTTCAAAATTTTGGGCATTTGATACATTTTCATAAAAATTAGGAACATAATATAAAACACAAACTACAACAAAAATATATACTAGTTCTAAGACATACCTTGGCCCATGATGAAAATCACGAGACTTACCTATGCCGTCCTAAAATCACCTTTGAACTCGACGCTTAACCTTCCCCGACAACTGCGTCAAAAATGCTTGATAGTTTCTGTTGTTGTTCCCTAACGAACAAAATATGTGTGTGGAATGAAATGCATATGTGAACAAAAGTACTCCCCAAGCACAATGAGTCTTTTGTGTGTCGTTGTTTTACTTGGAAAAGTATTCCAAGGTCGTCTCGTCAGGGAAGGAAAGTTGAAGTGTAGTGAAGGTGATTTTGTGAAAAAGGAAAGTGTAAAATCTTTTAGTTGGTTTTGGTGAGTTTTGTTCTTAATGAAAATGCAAGAAAACAAGTGTTGCTAATCCTAAGAGTTCATTCCAATGGGAATATCAAATCAACTCAAAACCTTCCTCCAATGGTGCATAGATGAACGATTGATTCGTGGGAAGCTCGGGACGAAAATTGAGGTGAGGATTCAAGCATACACCATGACCAGGCCTACAGTGTATCAAGAACTCACAATCATGTCCTCACCTCAACCCAGTCAAACCGAACCATCGTACACCGAGAGGAGGAAAGAACATAAGTTAGAATGGCATGCCCAAGAGGACTCCCTTGGATTAGCCAACTTAAAATCTAGCTATTCATAAATAAAGGAAAGATATGCATAATGTAAAGAGACATGATGAGTAAATGCAGCATGAAACTTAACTTATTGCTGGAAATGTTAAACTATGAAGAAAAATATTCAATACCCATTTTAAAAGTTGAAATGAAGAAAAACTTAATATAACAATGGTAGATTCAAGAACATGTAACTAAACTTGTAATAAACTTGAAATAAATGAGATTAAAGTGCAAGAGTTAAGGATTACAAGAAATTGAAAGTTTACGACAACTGAAATGGAAAAGAAAATGCAAAAATATAAATTTTACACTATTCATCATCTTCTTCATTGGATTTTCTAAGCTTAGGTAGCCCCCCAAAATCTTTGTTGAATGCTGAATATATGGTGAAAAGCCTTGCATTTTTTGTCCATGGAGGGTCCCCCTAGGTGTGTGCAAGCCTCCCATCAATGGGAGGTGAGTTTGATGGTTTTGACAGGCTAGGAAAACCTTAGCCTGCAACTATCCTAGCTGCCCCTTCCTCTCCCATCCTCATAAATGCAATGGCCTTCAAAGTCTTCAATAAGGGTGTAGGAGGCATGTAAATGTGTAAGGAAAGTCAGGAGGCAAGTGGGAGAATCAATGGTGGGACCCCCAAGCAAGTGGAGCATGAAAAAAAGTCGTTCTGGGCTGTTTCAGCAGACCATACCAGTATGCGTACCGGTACACTTCTGCTCTGGACTAGTTTTCGTAGAATCATCATATCGTTTGATCCAACTGTCGGATTGTGCTAAATTTTGAAATAATACAGAGGACGTCCAGATCGATAAATTTCATGTTTTGAACTTGTTCAGATTCAAAGTGGATCATGGTCAAAAAGAAGGAACACCAATGTACTGCTACAAAATGGTGTGGTTGTTGATGCCTATGTAACCAAACACCAATACCTCCTTCATTTCCTTCACTTTTTGTAACGCCCCAAAAACCACCCTGGATAGCATTACCATTTAAAATCATTCATATCATGAGAGCAACTAAATAAATCCATGATTTACAAACATTCTTAATTTAACAAAATTCGGGCAGAGTCTCCTTTGTACGAGGAGCTCTACCCAAAAACTCAACATGTGCATTTATACTGCATTGACCACACCGGGTCCATTTAACCATCAAATAAAAATATTTCATTCATCATATGTACTATCCACAATGTCATCCCAAAAAGAATAAGCCAAGTTATGAAAGTTACATCCCAAAAGAATTACACTCAACTTTAGCAGCGAAATAAAAAAAATACTAAACTATTTATGATCGTAAATAAGATTTCTTAGTCTAGTACAAAAATAACTATAGCCCTAGATGTCCACCTCGGGATCTAGAATCCCCTCGGGTGGGACCTCCCCATGCCCCGGCTCGTCAGCTCCGAGGTCCTCCTCTAGCACCAAATCTGAAAAATGTTTAATGGTAGGGGATGAGCACGAAGCTCTGTAACAAAATCCTCCCAACTCAAACAATGTTTAAAAAAAATATATAAAACAGGTCAGTCTCATTTCACAAATAACATATATAACTTTGAAAATAAAAATTAGGACATTTAAACAGATCTCAAGTTTAAGCACCACAATAATTTAAGACATAAATGAATCCAATATCCAACAACTAGTCCATTCCACCATAAATCTTTTCTCCCAAGTTCTTGCGGAATCTCATACTTCCCAAGATTCTTGTAGAAACCATTTATGGTACAATAAACAATAACCCTTTTTCTGTATTCGTATCTCAAGTATGAAGTAATATTTCACATGGTCACCATCGAAAATATCATGACCCACGTACAAACCACACAATTCCCTTTTTCCACGATACCCCGTGAGTGATAATGGTTTAGCCTTCACAAGGCACTAACCCCATTACGAGTGGTAGGAATAGTTCAACCCACACGGAGTAAGAAGTCATCTACCCACTCCATGATACCCGATCAATAGTAACCCATGTTTATCCCCACAACTACACAAGAGATACAATACCAACTATTTTCTCAAATACAAATAATTTCATAAACCCCAAATCACATGGGTATTTCTCAAATCACAAGAGAATCAAATAATCCCAATAGAACATTATAAAAGAAAAGCATGAGATCATCATAAATATTATTTCATTACCCAACACAAAGCACTAGAGTTTTCGGAATCAACAATAACGGAGAAATTAAGGGAAAACCCCTTTTTTCTTAAAAACTAGGTTTTGAAGCAAGTAAATGAGTTTTAATGGTTATCCAACCACCAAAATGTTTAAAACATGACAATAAATGCAAGAATACCAAGAGTCAAGTATATAATAACAAGTAAATAAGATTTTTAAGTCAAAAGAATACATATAAACTAACCCTAACCTCAATGTAAGAGAATAGGAAGAATTCCCCTACCTTGAATCAAAGTTCCAAACCAAAACCCAAGCTCAAGAGACCTCTTTTCTCCCTTTCCTCCTTTCCTCTATCTTCTCCTAGGGTGCTAAGAGGTTTGGGGTGAGAGTGGAGTGAAAGAAATAGAGGCAAATGGGCTGAAATCTGTGTTTTAAACACAGCAGTCCCGACGGGTTACTGTTCACAGGCTGCAATTTGGGTTTTCTCCAAAATTACGATTTTGCCACTAAAAATCTCCAATTTGATCCATATGACTACCTTAAGGTTTTTCGACGTTCCAAATTTTTTTAATGTTATTTTAACCTAAAAATATTTATTTTTATGATTTATTTCAAAATTAAAATAAATTTACACTCGAAATATTAAAATTACTATTTTATTCCTCCGAACCGCCATATGTGCTAACGGCTATCCCAAATTTTTATGGTTTCAATATATATGGTTTATTCTTACGTCATTAAATATATACAAATCACTAAACAAGTAAATTACTATATTAATATAAACATGTGGGGGTTTACACCTTCAAAGTCTAAGAAGAAAGCACTACACTTTACTATCCAAGGAACACCATAGTGCAGATTTTTGGTCAACTTCAGAGAATAAACTGATTTGACTCAGGTATTTCTAGTATGTGTGACCTATATGGTTGGAAAGATATACGAGTTAGGGTTCTAACAAAAATAACGGTGCGCAATTTGGACTTTCCAACAAAGAGTTATGATCAAATTAGTGAAAGGTAGTCTGTCAGACTGCTTGGTTCTTCTATACTTGTCTAACTCGAGTTTGGGTGTCTTTTGTCACAAATCCTATCTCGTACCCATCTCCAATATAGGTAGGATGACTTTCATAAAGATCCATGTCTAGCATCATTCATTAACCAAAACCAAATTACCCTCCGTCTCCTAGAATCATCCATGACAACATAATGTAGAACTAGTATATTTAGAAAAAAATCTTTCTTCAATTCCTCTAAGCTAGCTCGTTGATGAGAATGCAAATGTCATATTTTTTTTTTCTTTCATTATTTATCCCTTTATACTTATTATTCTTATAGTTTGATTTAGGATGTAAATAAAGACGTTAAAAGTAGAACGAAGCTAATAGGATGATTGTTGATAGTATAGACATGTGGGGATTTACAATCCACCCCCCTTAAAGAAAGTTTTGTCCTCGAAACTTACCTCAAGTAGCGAATAAGTGTGCGTACTTCTCTCGCATTTCTAGCTCCGGTTCCCAAGTAGCTTCTTCCACTCCATGGTGTTGCCACAAAACCTTCACTAGTTGGATGACTTTGTTGCGGAGCACCTTCTCTTTGGCATCGAGGATCTTCACCGGTTGTTCTTCATAGGTTGCTCCGTCTTGAATTTCAATATCTTTCAAGTCTACGACCTGCGTTGCATCCGATTGACACTTTCTCAACATCGACACGTGGAACACGTCATGTACCCCCAACAACTGAGTTGGTAACCGCAACTGATACGCCGCTTTGCCCACAACTTTGATCACTTCAAATGGCCCGGTATATCTTGGCGCTAACTTTCCCTTCTTGCCGAATCTAAATACTCCTTTCTTGGGCGACACTTTGAGGAACACGTAGTCTCCCACTTTGAATTCCAAGGGTCTTCGTCTTTGATCCGCATAGCTTTTCTGTCGACTTTGCGCTGTGAGTAGCCTCTCTCGGATGAGTTGAATTTTCTCGGTAGTTTCTCGAACAATCTCTGGTCCAAACAAACTACTCTCGCCGGCTTCCAACCAACACGTAGGGGATCTACACGGTCTTCCATACAATGCTTCATACGGTGCCATCCCAATGCTGGCCTGATAGCTGTTATTATACGCAAACTCCACCAACGGTAAGTGATCATTCCAGCTTCCTTTGAAGTCCAACGCGCAAGCACGTAACATATCTTCCACAATCTGTATCACCCTTTCAGATTGGCCATCCGTTTGGGGATGAAAAGTTGTGCTGAAATGTAACTCTGTCCCCATGGCTTGTTGTAGACTTTGCCAGAACCGCGCCACAAATCGAGAATCACGATCCGACACGATAGAAAGTGGAACTCCATGCAAGCGCACAATCTCACGGACATACAGCTGGCTCAAAGTCTCCAAGGTGTCCGTGGTCTTCATACCCAAAAAATGAGCGGACTTGGTAAGTCTATCCACAATAACCCATACTGCATTATGCCCGCGCGACGTCCGTGGTAAACCCGACACGAAATCCATGGTGATGTGATCCCACTTCCACTTTGGGATAGGCAAAGACTGTAGTAATCCTCCTGGCTTTTGATGTTCGATCTTCACCTGCTGGCACACCGCACATCGTGCTATGAACCTTGCCACATCCTTCTTCATTCCTTTCCACCAATATTGGCGCTTCATGTCCCTATACATTTTTGTGCTACCGGGGTGAATAGCAAACTTAGAGCGATGACACTCTCCAAGTATCTCCTCCTTTAGGGACGAATCATCGGGAACGCATAGCTTCTCCCCATATCTCAATTCTCCGTTTCTCAAAGACCAACCCTCCATAGTTTCTCCATTCTCCAATTTAGCTCGAATCGATGCTAATTCAGGATCCAAGCATTGCAATTCCACAACCCTACGTTGGAGAGTAGGTTGAGCCACAAGGTTGAACAAACATGGTCGGGATCCATCTTTTCCAACCCATAGATCAAAATCTCCAAGGGCATCCCTCATCTTCCATTTACATGCAAAAATATTGAGTTCACCCCAAGACTTTCTGCTAAGTGCATCGGCGACTACATTGGCCTTCCCCGGATGGTAGTTGAGTGTGAAATCATAATCTTCTAGATACTCAACCCACCTTCTCTGCCGAAGATTCAAATCTTTCTGTGTGAACACATACTTGAGGCTTTTATGATCCGAGAACACTTGAAACTTTTCCCCATACAAGTAACACCTCCACAGCTTGAGAGCAAAAACCACAGCGGCAAGCTCCAAGTCATGAGTGGGATAATTCTGCTCATGAACCTTTAATTGTCTCGAACCATAAGCAACAACCTTGCCTCCCTGCATTAGCACACATCCCAAGCCTCGTAGCGAAGCATCGGTGTACACATCATATCCTTCCCCACTGCTCGAAATAATGAGGACAGGTGTCGTCGTCAACCTCTCCTTCAAGGTGCGAAAGGCTAGCTCACACGCTTGAGTCCACACGAATTTTTCTCCCTTCCTTGTGAGGCGAGTCATCGGCATCGCAAGCTTTGAGAACCCTTCCACAAACCTCCGATAGTAGCCTGCTAAGCCCAAAAAACTACGTACTTCGGTCACATTCTTTGGTGGTTCCCACTTCATCACTGCCTCAATCTTTGCGGGATCAACAGCTACCCCTTGTTCCGACACCACATGGCCAAGGAATTTCACTTCCTTCATCCAAAACTCACACTTACTCATCTTCGCATATAACTTATGTTCTCTCAATGTCTGTAGCACAATAGAGAGATGGCGTCCATGTTCCTCGTGAGTCCGGGAATAGATTAGTATGTCATCAATAAACACGATGACAAACTGATCTAGATACGACCTAAATACCCTGTGCATTAAATCCATGAAGGCTGCTGGAGCATTAGTCAATCCGAACGGCATCACTGTATACTCGAAATGACCATACCGAGTACGAAAAGCAGTCTTAGGAATATCTTCCTCCTTGATCCGTAATTGATGATACCCTGTGCGAAGGTCAATCTTAGAGTAATATTTAGAACCCTTCAACTGATCAAATAGGTCGTCGATTCGTGGCAAAGGGTATTTGTTCTTCACAGTAACCCGGTTCAACCTCCGATAATCCGTGCACAACCGTAGTGTCTCATCCGTCTTCTTCACAAAGAGGACCGGGGCTCCCCAAGGTGAAGTACTCAAACGTATAAACCCAATGGCCAACAAATGATCCAACTGCTTTCTTAGCTCCTTTAACTCCAAAGGTGCCATTCGATAGGGAGCAATAGATATGGGTTCGGTTCCCGGATAGAGATCAATCCTGAACTCAATCTCCCTATGTGGCGGTAACCCGGGTAGTTCATCTGGGAAGACATCCAGAAAGTCCGACACTATCAATACCACATCCTCATGGAATTTATCCCGATCGTCTCCCATCAAACTAGCTAAGAAACTCAAATGGCTTCCCGCCTTCGCTTTCAAAAATCTACTACTCGTAGTAGGAAATGGGTGAGAAGATTTGTTATCTTTCTTGAAAGTGAAAACTACCCCTCCCGGTAATTGAAATGAAATCCTCTTGTGAAAGCAATCCATCACCGCATGGAATTTTGACAACAGATTCATTCCGAAGATTATGTCATACCCCATCATGTCGAATGCAACCAAATCTACAATCAATTCTTGTTCCCCAATTCGAAGCATACAACCTCTACACACCCTCGTAGTATCTAACCGTTCTCCCGTAGGCAAGTCAATACTCAAGGCATGCTCTAGCTTCTCAAATTTCAATCCCAAACTAAGAGCATATGTATTACGTACAAATGAGTGGGTAGCACCGGGATCAAATAAGATTCGGGCCCAAGAGTTGTAAAGAAGTACGATACCTTCCACTATGGCATTAGAAGCATCCTCATCTGGTTGAGTCAAAGCAAAAACTCTCCCTTGATTGGCCCCACCGGGGGCTTGAGCTTGTAACTGTCTCTGTTGTTGTGGTCTCGGTGGTGGTGGCTTATTTGCTTGAATCTGTCCTGTCGCTTGATTGGTCCTAGGTGGAAGTGAGGGGCATTGATTTTTGAAGTGCCCAAAATCTCCACATGCATAGCAGCGACGTGGGTCGGTGCCGGTCCTCGTCTGGGTAGCTCCATCTCCTCGGGCTGTCAAAAGTCTCTGTCCACCTGCCTGGTCTGGACGACGGTATGGTGCCGCCCGCTGTACTCCACTGGTGCTAGTGCTTATCCTGATCGGACCTCCCCTTCCCTCTCCACAAGTGCGGCTCGGTCAACTAGATCCCCATAATCCCGAATCTTGAGAGCCACAAGCTTCTCCCTGATGGCAGGCCTCAATCCCTGCTCAAAGCGTTTGGCCCTTCTTACTTCTGTGGATATAAACTCCATAGCATAACGGGAGAGCTCGTCAAACCTCCTCTCATACTCGGCCACCGTCATGTTGCCCTGCCGTAGAGCCAAAAAATCGGCACTCATTCGTCCCTCACTGATTCAGGAAAGTATTTGTCTTGGAAGATTTGGTCAAACTCCTCCCAAGTAAGCACGTCGGTGTTCCTTCTTCTCTTCACGGAGTCCCACCAATGGTCGGCCTCCCCCTCCAATAGATAGGTTGCCAAATCGACCCGAAGATCCTCGGCAACTCCCATGCCATCACACATTTTCTTCACCCAGCGAATCCACCTATCTGCATCCAAAGGGTTAGAGCTCCCTTGGAACGTAGGTGGACGTTGTCTCAAAAACTCCCGAAGGACGACCATCCTCCGATTTTCATTCCCGTTGCCCGGTACTTGGGCTAGTGGATGCGCCCCACCATTGTGGTTGTTGTTCCCATTTTGGTGTTGCACCAAAGTGGTAAGCTCTCGTAAACATTGGTAGATGCCGTTTATGGCATCGGGAGGTGGTGATGGTGGTGGGTTTGCTTGGCCACCACGACCTCGTCCACGTTCACGTCCACGTCCACGCACTCCGTCCATCCTGCACACCAATTCACAATTTAGCTCCTTGATGTACAAGACATTCTAAGTATAGTTCTAGTCTAAGCATAACGTTTAGATAAACTTTCATCCAACAAGATAGTTTACCCTAGTCCTATTTCTCTAGCGGTGATCCATAACCTACAGCTCCCATGTAAGACCTAAAGCCTAGGCTCTGATACCAAAATTTGTAACGCCCCAAAAACCACCCTGGACAGCATTACCATTTAAAACCATTCATATCATGAGAGCAACTAAATAAATCCATGATTTACAAACATTCTTAATTTAACAAAATTCGGGCAGAGTCTCCTTTGTACGGGGAGCTCTACCCAAAAACTCAACCTGTGCATTTATACTACATTGACCACACCGGGTCCATTTAACCATCAAATAAAAATATTTCATTCATCATATGTACTATCCACAATGTCATCCCAAAAAGAATAAGTCAAGTTATGACAGTTACATCCCAAAAGAATTACACTCAACTTTAGCAGCGGAATAAACAAAATACTAGACTATTTATGATCGTAAATAAGATTTCTTAGTCTAGTACAAAAATAACTATAGCCCTAGATGTCCACCTCGGGATCTAGAATCCCCTCGGGTGGGGCCTCCCCATGCCCCGGCTCGTCAGCTCCGAGGTCCTCCTCTAGCACCAAATCTGAAAAATGTTTAATGGTAGGGGATGAGCACGAAGCTCTATAGCAAAATCCTCCCAACTCAAACAAGGTTTAAAAAAAATATATAAAACAGGTCGGTCTCATTTCACAAATAACATATATAACTTTGAAAATAAAAATCAGGACATTTAAACAGATCTCAAGTTTAAGCACCACAATAATTTAAGACATAAATGAATCCAATATCCAACAACTAGTCCATTCCACCATAAATCGTTTCTCCCAAGTTCCTGCGGAATCTCATACTTCCCAAGATTCTTGTAGAAACCATTTATGGTACAAAAAACAATAACCTTTTTTCTATATTCGTATCTCAGGTATGAAGTAAGATTTCACATGGTCACCATCGAAAATATCATGACCCACGTACAAACCACACAATTCCCTTTTTCCACGATACCCCGTGAGTGATAATGGTTTAGCCTTCGCAAGGCACTAACCCCATTACGAGTGGTAGGAATAGTTCAACCCACACGGAGTAAGAAGTCGTCTACCCACTCCATGATACCCGGTCAATAGTAACTCATGTTTATCCCCACAACTACACAAGAGATACAATACCAACTATTTTCTCAAATACAAATAATTCCATAAACCCTCAATCACATAGGTATTTCTCAAATCACAAGAGAATCAAATAATCCCAATAGAACATTATAAAAGAAAAGCATGAGATCATCATAAA